CCCATTCTTCTCCCATCCATCTGAATCCATTTCCATTCTTCTTCCATCCATCTAAATTCATTCTCATTCTTCTCTGTTCCATCTGAATCCATTCCTATTCTCTCATCCATCTGAATTCATCATTAGTTTTTTTTCCACTCTTTCTCTTTCAATCCATTTTCAACGATATCTATATGATGGTATGATTAAAAATGCCAACTCATTTTGGTGGTATGATATTTAATGTATCACATTAAATATGCGTATCATTCTAACGGATACAAACAATCGTATACAATTGTCATCAAATGTCTGATCTCTCCAGTCATCAATCCTGTTAAAGATTGCAATTTCAAATTGTTCCATTATACTTTGAATCCAGTTTTTTTTTAAAAAAAAGAAAAAATAAAAGAGTATAAATTTATCTCTTCAATCATAATTAATCATTTTGTTAACTTATTGTTAATCAAAGTACTTGTTATCATCGATCAATTGTAAACTATAAATTGAATGAAATTCAAAAATAAAAAAGTAACAATTTATGAAATTCAAATTAATATAATAAGAAAAAGAGAAAAAAAAGTATGCATAGATAAGCAGCTGTTGATGATAAAATCAAAAAAATAAACTTACCAGATATTTTTACTTCATTAATTAATTAATTAAATGAAATTAAAATAGTTTGATAAATTATGTTTTATAACGCTTCTTCTTTTCTTTCTCTCTCTCTCTCTCTCTTCTCTCTCTCTCTCTCGCTCCCGGATATCATATGAGAATGTTCGATGATTCAGTACGGGTTGAAGTGAAACGAAGAGCAGAGACAAATAGCAGATGTATTTATGTTGAGAGAGAAGAGTGGAGGTATATTGAGCTTGTCATGAACAAACATTTTCATTTCACTTCTGAATTCTAGTTCAAAAAAATTTTTGATCTTCAATAAATAAGGTAAAAAATTTTTTTTTTTTTTTTGTTTCAAACCAACTGTCCTGTTATGTTGATTTTATAGAATGAAATGTTCTTTCAAAAGGCGCATTTGCTCACTTTGGAACTCGTTTATACAGTTGTATTCTTATCAATAAAATGATTGAAATGAACAATTTTAAAAAGAAATTGAAAAAAGATGGAAAAGCATTGCGAATTTACAATTTATGATCTATCCTTATCATCAATAACAATTATTATTACTATTGCTACTATTATTATTGTTAGCATTATTATCATTACTAATATTATTATTATTACTATTATTATTTATTATTATCACTCATTATTATTGTTATTAACATTATTATTATTATCATTATTATTGCTGCTATTGTTACTATTGATAACAATAATAATAATAATAGTAACAATAATAACAATAATTATTATTATTACTATTATTATTGTCATTATTATTATTGCTGTTACTATTACTATTGTTACTACTAATTATTATTATTATTATTATTATTATTATTATTATTATTATTATTATTATTATTATTATTATTATCATTATCATTATTATTATTTATCATTATCATTATTATTATTATTATTATTATTATTATTATTATTATTATTATTATTATTATTGCTATTATT